CGGGGGGGGGGGACAGAGTGTCAAGCTTGGCAGAGACGGAGAAGGTGTGAGACTGGGTTTGCGAAAGGGATGTGCTCATGTGCAAGCATGCCGTGGTCGGTAGGCCACAGACCTCGCATCCCTACAGGGCCGGGACGGAACTATGGTTTTTCGCCGCACAAAGGTTCATTTCACAAAGATGATCCAGAAAACCCGGTCATCACCACCCTTGCGTTCGCTGTGCCAAGCCAGACACGTCATTTGCGAGAGAGGGGGGTTCACGATGGATCACCCACATGCCGTCAGCGGTCACGAGGGAGGGGCGACGGATGGGTCTAGTGCCCTTTTTCGGGGGCACAGAGAACGACGCCGATATGAAAGAATGCTCATTAGCACGAACGAGCACACATTGGCATGCCCGCTGATGTGCTACATAAATACATCATGTAGTGGATTTCTTCCTAGGAGACCATTTGGAGCACCTTTCACGCGGGTTGGTGCGGTCTGAGGAGATGTTCCGCAAGCTACTGCTGCTGCAGCAGCGGTAGCAGCAAGGTGCGACATTAAAGGGAAATCACCTCCACTCCTGCGAGAAAAACGCCATTTCGAGCTGGGAACCCGGGTCGAGCCGTCCCCCTTTGGGAGATCACGGCGACGTACCGCTATGCGTACGGCACCCACAACTCACCCGAACAGCAAAAATACGCTGTAAATATTAATGATCGCGTTGGAGCACACCGAGAGTCTCGTTTGCCGTGCACATGCTCGGAGAGAAGTGTGCTCGCAGTTGAGGCCAAATAAATAAAAAATGAAAAGGCATGGCGGGAATGTTTCGTATTTCACTACTCCACCCTCCATACAGTATCAGGAGCACTCTCCGCATCCACGCACCGAGGGTGCTCTTCTTGGTGTAGTCAAGCGTCCACGTCAAGGAGCTCTTGGAGGGGAAGTAGGTGTGGTAAAAGAAGCTGTTCAGCTTCACCCCGAACACGTTGAGCTTGAGGTTTGTCTTGATAATCTCGGTGCCCTACACCGGGAGAGAGGGTCGGTTGCGAAATAACGACGTCGGCCGGGGCGGGGAGGGGGGGTTCAGTAGAGAAAATCGGGCGTCACGTTTATCTGATGTACGGCAGGAGTGGTGCACAGGGTCTGCAGAGTCTAAAGAGCTTCCGGAATTTCGTGGGCAGTCTCAGGGCCCTGCCGAACAAATAGGAAGGCGTTGGAAGGGAGGAAGGCGCTGGACGGGAGATTGGGGCGGGGATTCAAAAACACGAAGCCACGGGAGCAAGCGCAATACGATGCAAGCGGCAGTGATCACATTCCACGATCCTCCGCACAGTAAAAGAGAGGCCTCAACAAATTTCTACACAGCGAAGGCAATGCTATAGCAAGTAATTCTTGGACCTCGCTCTTCCCAACCGCCACAAAAAATGATGCTTCGCGAGGCTGGGTTCACCCCAGCTCCTTTTCATTTTTTCATGATGTGGCTGGCGAACATGGTCGTTTGTTCTTACGAGTATCCGCACGCGTCTTCTACAACTGGAGCTAGTTCTACTTACGCCCCCCAGTGGTACACTCACATTCCTCAGCGTTTCTGTCTCGTAGTTCTTGCACTCCGTCACCTTGGGCACCTATCGATGGAGAGGGGGCGGGGACGTAAACAGGAAAAGTAAGAGAGCGACAAGGGGGAGTACCCACGCACGGACGTCATCTCGCACCGCAGCCAAGTAGATTCACACAAGCCCTCCTTTTCCCCCGCGATATGGTCGACTTTTTACACAAGCGCGGAATACTCGGCACGCCACTGCAGCAGCAGACAACACGGCAAGACACGAACCGCGTCGAGGGGGAGGACATGCGTCCCCAGGGGAAGACTCAATCCAGCCAATAACAGTGACGCGGCGGTTGTGTCAAAACAGCTGGTACCCACTTTTCGTTGGCACAACCACAACAACAACAACAAAACTCGCCGCCTGCGTCACTCACCATCTTGTTGTAGTTGCCGAAGTCAAGGATGCGGTCCCACACGTACTCGGCGGGCGCGTTGACGTCTTGCACGGCCAGGGCGCGGCCGCCCTTGCCCCCATCCTCCTCCGTCTCCCCCTTGATCATGTCTTGCACCTGTGCATGGGTTGCGCGGGCATACACCAGGTCAGGGTTTGGATGGAGGGATTTGGCGCTGCGGCTTCATTCCCGACAAAAGTTGCAACGAACCTGTGGGTCGGATCAGGGTTGGGGTGGAAGGATTTATGATTGCTGCGGCTTTATCATTCCCGACTACAGTCGGCGGTCCTCTGTTGCGGTACCCTGAATAGCGGAATGCCCTGAACATCGGCGCCGAAATCGCTTGGCACAAATGCATCTCTCAGTACTATTGATATCAGCAATAGCGGCACTGCCCTGAATAACGGCACCAAAACTTCTGGTCACTAACCATCGCTGGTGAAGACCGCTGACTGTACCACAATTCGCACGTCACGCATCTTAGAAAGTACTGCAGCAATACAAGTACCAGTATATTACTACCGGTAGATAATATCACGGCAGCATTTAGCATGCTTCACATACCAGGTCCCCTCCGTCGAGGTCCGTGCGCTGCTTCTTGGTCAACACGATGTCCGGCATGCCAGGCTTGTAAGGCTGGTCCGGCCATGCAAGGTATCAGTGGCGGCGGCAGGAGCACGAGTGTTTCAACGGCTAGTCATCGATCAGTGGCATCTGACGCCATTGCAACAGCATTGGTGGGGACTGCTGTTCGATGCTTGGGAGCTTCTTGGGGTATTTGTTGTTGTTTGTCTTCACATTAAACCGTATGTCAGTTGCTAAATGCCAAAATCTAGCAAAAGACTCTCAGCCCGTGGTCACGAAAGTGCTAGAGCCATCTGAGGATCTAAAGAACACGCACACATCTGACGAGAAAAAGGTATGCAAGAGCCCGAAGAGGTACACCTAAAAATCCCTGCAGCACCGTATGCGTGCCCAAAAACTGAACTGCACGTCCGTCCCAC